TTGTCGCGTGCCGTGAAGATACTATTTTTAAGCTTTTACGTGTAAGGATGTTGATGTTGTCATTGTTACGGTCATCTATAATTTCTCTTTCGACATCTGAGATTTTCTCAAGAAGCAAACGTTCTTTATCTTTATTTTCGTTTCACTGGTTTTCATTTAGATCTAAATCCCTAACTCAGTTGATCTGGCCACTGTTTTCGGTGCTTTTAAAATGAATAAAAACCTGAGACGTCTATTTCATTAAATTTGGATGTTTCATCAATATTCATATATAATAAACAGAGCATTATCTGGCGTCTGGGAATAAGAATTTCGTCTTCGCTGAATTCATTATCGAGAGATACCTCAGCAGGACATGGCAAAATTTGTGTTCCCTGTGAGGCCATGCAATATCCTCTATATTTTACCAATGTGATTTCTACAATGGACTTGTTTAACACTAGGAATTTATATTTTGTTTGTTGACAGGGGCATTCGGTATTTTAAAATAACTGGTCAGTTTACAAATTGTGGACCAGTAAAACAGAATAGTTTTCTTCTTGTCGCATATGTGATCTTCTTCGATATTACCGATGGTATCTTTTACGTTCTACTATCATTTGACTTTTAAATTCACTAAACAGAATTACGTTTTCCAGCTTTACGATATCTTCGCTAATAATTCTGTCTTTAACTGCGAGTATAGAGTTTCTTGCATTCCATGTAGCTGTTAATTCCTCCCAAAGAAACCACACCCGATTTCACCAATTTCTACATTCTCTGAGACTATTTGCTTGACAATAAGGTGCATAGAGCATAGTGCATGGAATATAAATACTGGAAAATGTTACTGAGTATGATAGCGGGAAGAAGAGTATAAAATATTACAATAAAGGAAAGCGTGAGAATTACAATAAAAAGTTTAGACTGATGAAAACTCACGGCTGCCTGGAATGGAACGAGTGAAATAGAAAGTGTTGGTCTAGTTTACTTAGTTGAATGTTTGGATAATAACCATGATAAGATGCCTAAGTCATAGGAACGTTATGAGTGGTAAAGTTTACAAAAAAAAAGATATAGAAGTTTTAGTTCATATAATAATGTTCAATTGTTTTCAATCAGTAGAAATGGAAGAAAGCGGGGGCAGCTCTAGTGATAACTATTACTAGTGTTAATATATTCTCGGAAGACTATGAAAAAAAAACTGTTTATTGATACCGTTTGCATTTAACTAGAAGTAGAATTGTTTGTTTTTGGAACTATAATGACAGTTTAGAAGTCTCTAAAATATATTCCTTTCAGTGCAAAGCAATAAAGGATGCTCTGAATGTTTTTTTTTAATGTACCTTTTCTTGGCCCCAAGCTAACAATCCTANGCAGAGAAAGGCCTTTTCTTTGCCGGGTGCTTCCTCCTCCTACCCGTCTCAGAAAAAAAATCGTGACAACCAGTTCCAGATGATTTTCTCAACTGCTGTTCTGCTTTCGAGATACGTTTGCTCTTATAACAATAAAAATAAAAATGGTTTGTTTCATCATCAAATTGAAACAGCAGTTTGTTTCTCTATAATTTTTTAACCATGTTTTCTTAACTTCTGCTGAGTGAAATTTTTGTAACAGGATTATTAGTTCCGATAAAGGAAACTCTTTTTCAGACAGCACTTTGTGTGATCTTCGAGAGGAAAACTCACGGCTGTCTGGAATGGAATATGAGTGAAATAGATAGTGTTGCTTTAGTTTACTTAGTTGAATGTTTAGATAACCATGATAAGATGCCCAAGTCATAGGAACATTGTAAGTAATAAAGTTTAGTAAAAAAGATATAGAAGTTTTACAATAATGTCCAATTGTTTTCAATCAGTAGAAAAATCAGTAGATATAAAAGAAAGCGGGGGCAGCTTCAGTGATAACTATTACTAGTGTTAATATATTTTCCGGAGACTATAAAAAACACGTTTATTGATACCGTTTGCATTTAATTAGAAGTAGAATTGCTTGTTTTGGGAACTATAATGACAGTTTAGAAGTCTCTAAAATATATTCCTTTCAGTGCAAAGCAATAAAGGATGCTCTGAATGTTTTTTTTTTAATGTACCTTTTCTTGGCCCCAAGCTGACAATCCTAATTCTCCACACATATCTGAGCACATTTCGATTTTAGTTCAGAGAATGTCCTTGTCTGTCAAGAAGTTTTATCCACACCGTACTGATGATTATCTTTGTCCAAACAGCAGTCAGTTGACAACACTTTAATGTCCCTCTTTCAGTTGAAGTAAGAGGAATCAACGAACAGCAATTTTGAACTTTTAACGATCTCTGAAATGTTTCTTGCTAGAACTTTACTTTTTAAGTTATTTAAGATACACGTTGCAGCGTGTTCCATTCTTTAAGCCGTAATTAAAATTTGTGGCAAACAATTTTTATGAACAGGACGTTGAACACCCACCACATATTAACCGAAAGGAACTTATTTCTACTGCAAGAAGGTACAATTTCTTATCGCTTTTCAAATACCAATTTGTGGTAACTAAAAGGTTAAACGAAAACCAAAAAAAGTTAAGTAATTCACCTGAAAGTCCTCTCTCTGCTGCTAGCAACTGGTCATGTCAAACGATAAGCAAAAGAAGCAGTAAAGTAATCATCGTACAGAAAAGTTTTCGCCATTCACAGCTGTTGCCATTTTTAATAAACGTAGGCTACAGGCTAGAAACATGAACTATTATTTTACCATATCGATATTGATGAAACATCGGGACTTTTATTGTTCCTAAAATTTAATTTCTTGTCGCGTGCCGTGAAGATACTATTTTTAAGCTTTTACGTGTAAGGATGTTGATGTTGTCATTGTTACGGTCATCTATAATTTCTCTTTCGACATCTGAGATTTTCTCAAGAAGCAAACGTTCTTTATCTTTATTTTCGTTTCACTGGTTTTCATTTAGATCTAAATCCCTAACTCAGTTGATCTGGCCACTGTTTTCGGTGCTTTTAAAATGAATAAAAACCTGAGACGTCTATTTCATTAAATTTGGATGTTTCATCAATATTCATATATAATAAACAGAGCATTATCTGGCGTCTGGGAATAAGAATTTCGTCTTCGCTGAATTCATTATCGAGAGATACCTCAGCAGGACATGGCAAAATTTGTGTTCCCTGTGAGGCCATGCAATATCCTCTATATTTTACCAATGTGATTTCTACAATGGACTTGTTTAACACTAGGAATTTATATTTTGTTTGTTGACAGGGGCATTCGGTATTTTAAAATAACTGGTCAGTTTACAAATTGTGGACCAGTAAAACAGAATAGTTTTCTTCTTGTCGCATATGTGATCTTCTTCGATATTACCGATGGTATCTTTTACGTTCTACTATCATTTGACTTTTAAATTCACTAAACAGAATTACGTTTTCCAGCTTTACGATATCTTCGCTAATAATTCTGTCTTTAACTGCGAGTATAGAGTTTCTTGCATTCCATGTAGCTGTTAATTCCTCCCAAAGAAACCACAGCCGATTTCACCAATTTCTACATTCTCTGAGACTATTTGCTTGACAATAAGGTGCATAGAGCATAGTGCATGGAATATAAATACTGGAAAATGTTACTGAGTATGATAGCGGGAAGAAGAGTATAAAATATTACAATAAAGGAAAGCGTGAGAATTACAATAAAAAGTTTAGACTGATGAAAACTCACGGCTGCCTGGAATGGAACGAGTGAAATAGAAAGTGTTGGTCTAGTTTACTTAGTTGAATGTTTGGATAATAACCATGATAAGATGCCTAAGTCATAGGAACGTTATGAGTGGTAAAGTTTACAAAAAAAAAGATATAGAAGTTTTAGTTCATATAATAATGTTCAATTGTTTTCAATCAGTAGAAATGGAAGAAAGCGGGGGCAGCTCTAGTGATAACTATTACTAGTGTTAATATATTCTCGGAAGACTATGAAAAAAAAACTGTTTATTGATACCGTTTGCATTTAACTAGAAGTAGAATTGTTTGTTTTTGGAACTATAATGACAGTTTAGAAGTCTCTAAAATATATTCCTTTCAGTGCAAAGCAATAAAGGATGCTCTGAATGTTTTTTTTTAATGTACCTTTTCTTGGCCCCAAGCTAACAATCCTAATTCTCCACACATATCTGAGCACATTTCGATTTTAGTTCAGAGAATGTCCTTGTCTGCCAAGAAGTTTTATCCACACCATACTGATGATTATCTTTGTCCAAACAGCAGTCAGTTGACAACACTTTAATGTCCCTCTTTCAGTTGAAGTAAGAGGAATCAACGAACAGCAATTTTGAACTTTTAACGATCTCTGAAATGTTTCTTGCTAGAACTTTACTTTTTAAGTTATTTAAGATACACGTTGCAGCGTGTTCCATTCTTTAAGCCGTAATTAAAATTTGTGGCAAACAATTTTTATGAACAGGACGTTGAACACCCACCACATATTAACCGAAAGGAACTTATTTCTACTGCAAGAAGGTACAATTTCTTATCGCTTTTCAAATACCAATTTGTGGTAACTAAAAGGTTAAACGAAAACCAAAAAAAGTTAAGTAATTCACCTGAAAGTCCTCTCTCTGCTGCTAGCAACTGGTCATGTCAAACGATAAGCAAAAGAAGCAGTAAAGTAATCATCGTACAGAAAAGTTTTCGCCATTCACAGCTGTTGCCATTTTTAATAAACGTAGGCTACAGGCTAGAAACATGAACTATTATTTTACCATATCGATATTGATGAAACATCGGGACTTTTATTGTTCCTAAAATTTAATTTCTTGTCGCGTGCCGTGAAGATACTATTTTTAAGCTTTTACGTGTAAGGATGTTGATGTTGTCATTGTTACGGTCATCTATAATTTCTCTTTCGACATCTGAGATTTTCTCAAGAAGCAAACGTTCTTTATCTTTATTTTCGTTTCACTGGTTTTCATTTAGATCTAAATCCCTAACTCAGTTGATCTGGCCACTGTTTTCGGTGCTTTTAAAATGAATAAAAACCTGAGACGTCTATTTCATTAAATTTGGATGTTTCATCAATATTCATATATAATAAACAGAGCATTATCTGGCGTCTGGGAATAAGAATTTCGTCTTCGCTGAATTCATTATCGAGAGATACCTCAGCAGGACATGGCAAAATTTGTGTTCCCTGTGAGGCCATGCAATATCCTCTATATTTTACCAATGTGATTTCTACAATGGACTTGTTTAACACTAGGAATTTATATTTTGTTTGTTGACAGGGGCATTCGGTATTTTAAAATAACTGGTCAGTTTACAAATTGTGGACCAGTAAAACAGAATAGTTTTCTTCTTGTCGCATATGTGATCTTCTTCGATATTACCGATGGTATCTTTTACGTTCTACTATCATTTGACTTTTAAATTCACTAAACAGAATTACGTTTTCCAGCTTTACGATATCTTCGCTAATAATTCTGTCTTTAACTGCGAGTATAGAGTTTCTTGCATTCCATGTAGCTGTTAATTCCTCCCAAAGAAACCACAGCCGATTTCACCAATTTCTACATTCTCTGAGACTATTTGCTTGACAATAAGGTGCATAGAGCATAGTGCATGGAATATAAATACTGGAAAATGTTACTGAGTATGATAGCGGGAAGAAGAGTATAAAATATTACAATAAAGGAAAGCGTGAGAATTACAATAAAAAGTTTAGACTGATGAAAACTCACGGCTGCCTGGAATGGAACGAGTGAAATAGAAAGTGTTGGTCTAGTTTACTTAGTTGAATGTTTGGATAATAACCATGATAAGATGCCTAAGTCATAGGAACGTTATGAGTGGTAAAGTTTACAAAAAAAAAGATATAGAAGTTTTAGTTCATATAATAATGTTCAATTGTTTTCAATCAGTAGAAATGGAAGAAAGCGGGGGCAGCTCTAGTGATAACTATTACTAGTGTTAATATATTCTCGGAAGACTATGAAAAAAAAACTGTTTATTGATACCGTTTGCATTTAACTAGAAGTAGAATTGTTTGTTTTTGGAACTATAATGACAGTTTAGAAGTCTCTAAAATATATTCCTTTCAGTGCAAAGCAATAAAGGATGCTCTGAATGTTTTTTTTTAATGTACCTTTTCTTGGCCCCAAGCTAACAATCCTAATTCTCCACACATATCTGAGCACATTTCGATTTTAGTTCAGAGAATGTCCTTGTCTGCCAAGAAGTTTTATCCACACCATACTGATGATTATCTTTGTCCAAACAGCAGTCAGTTGACAACACTTTAATGTCCCTCTTTCAGTTGAAGTAAGAGGAATCAACGAACAGCAATTTTGAACTTTTAACGATCTCTGAAATGTTTCTTGCTAGAACTTTACTTTTTAAGTTATTTAAGATACACGTTGCAGCGTGTTCCATTCTTTAAGCCGTAATTAAAATTTGTGGCAAACAATTTTTATGAACAGGACGTTGAACACCCACCACATATTAACCGAAAGGAACTTATTTCTACTGCAAGAAGGTACAATTTCTTATCGCTTTTCAAATACCAATTTGTGGTAACTAAAAGGTTAAACGAAAACCAAAAAAAGTTAAGTAATTCACCTGAAAGTCCTCTCTCTGCTGCTAGCAACTGGTCATGTCAAACGATAAGCAAAAGAAGCAGTAAAGTAATCATCGTACAGAAAAGTTTTCGCCATTCACAGCTGTTGCCATTTTTAATAAACGTAGGCTACAGGCTAGAAACATGAACTATTATTTTACCATATCGATATTGATGAAACATCGGGACTTTTATTGTTCCTAAAATTTAATTTCTTGTCGCGTGCCGTGAAGATACTATTTTTAAGCTTTTACGTGTAAGGATGTTGATGTTGTCATTGTTACGGTCATCTATAATTTCTCTTTCGACATCTGAGATTTTCTCAAGAAGCAAACGTTCTTTATCTTTATTTTCGTTTCACTGGTTTTCATTTAGATCTAAATCCCTAACTCAGTTGATCTGGCCACTGTTTTCGGTGCTTTTAAAATGAATAAAAACCTGAGACGTCTATTTCATTAAATTTGGATGTTTCATCAATATTCATATATAATAAACAGAGCATTATCTGGCGTCTGGGAATAAGAATTTCGTCTTCGCTGAATTCATTATCGAGAGATACCTCAGCAGGACATGGCAAAATTTGTGTTCCCTGTGAGGCCATGCAATATCCTCTATATTTTACCAATGTGATTTCTACAATGGACTTGTTTAACACTAGGAATTTATATTTTGTTTGTTGACAGGGGCATTCGGTATTTTAAAATAACTGGTCAGTTTACAAATTGTGGACCAGTAAAACAGAATAGTTTTCTTCTTGTCGCATATGTGATCTTCTTCGATATTACCGATGGTATCTTTTACGTTCTACTATCATTTGACTTTTAAATTCACTAAACAGAATTACGTTTTCCAGCTTTACGATATCTTCGCTAATAATTCTGTCTTTAACTGCGAGTATAGAGTTTCTTGCATTCCATGTAGCTGTTAATTCCTCCCAAAGAAACCACAGCCGATTTCACCAATTTCTACATTCTCTGAGACTATTTGCTTGACAATAAGGTGCATAGAGCATAGTGCATGGAATATAAATGCTGTAAAATGTTAATGAGTACAATAGCGGGAAGAAGAGCATAAAATATTACAATAAAGGAAAGCGTGAGAATTACGATAAAAAGTTTAGATTGATGATTGAGAGAAGGATTTTCTCACCGGATGTGCAGATGTTCTAAGCTCTATGCACATATTGCAACACACCAATGAAGACAGATGCTTCTGCCAAAACATGTCTGTGAATTTTAAAATTGTCGTCATTTACTTGAAATTAAAACTATATGCTTGACAATAGGGTGATATTGGAAGAAGACATTATAACTTGATCCTCGCAAGGGTTGTATACAGTTAATTGCTCAAGTTAGGCCTTTAAACAAAATAGATATGGCAAAATTTTTGGTTTCAAACACGTTCAAAACGATTACGATTCAATGCGATTGCCCCGGGTCATTGTACAATAAAAAGCTAATAACATACGTACTGAACAGGCTTCCTTGGGGTGAGAAGTACAAAGCGAACTTTTGCGTTGTCACGTACGTCAACGTGAACCTCAACGCTTTCAAAGTTAATAACATAGAAGGCAAAATTACTGAATGATGATTGGTCAATGAAGAGGGTATTTTTTCTTAGTTTTGCTGGTGAAGAGGGCGAAATTACTCGCTCACGATTGGTCCTCAGATTGCCTAGCAACAGCTTATGCTATCTAGAAATTGTTGAATTCTTGAAACAATGGCGTCTCGTTTTGAGGTAGTTGACGGTCGAGGAATCTATCAAAGAATTAAAAGAGACGAGGGAAAATGAAACCACAAAGAAAAGCACGGAATACTGGAAGAACGTTTTTAAAAAGTGGGCGAATGAAGACTTCCAAGCAAATTTAGAAGAGTACGAGAGCGATGTACTCGAGCAAACACTGCCGCAGTTTTATGCCGAGTTACGAAAAGACAACGGGGATGACTACCAGCCTGATTGCCTGAAAGTAATGCGGGTATCTTTGAAGAGATATCTAGAATCAAAAGCATATCGAAAGTCTATCATCCGAGACAGGGAGTTTCTTAACTCCAGAAAAGCCCTCGAAGGGAAGGTCAGGAAACTGCGAGAGCAGGGCAAAGGAAAGCGACCAAACCGATCCAGAAGTTTGACAAAAGAAGAGAAAGAAGTCCTTTGGCAGAACAGTCAGCTTGGAGCGAGCACTCCACGAGCTCTACTTAACACCATGTGGTGGCTGCACACTCAGCACTTTGGCCTACGAGGGCGACAAGAACAAAACCAAATGAAAGTTGAATATTTCACTCTACAACGCGACGACGACGGACACGAATTTCTCACTTTTGCCGAAGGTCCAACTAAGAGGACACAGGGAGGACTTAGCGTGAAAACCAGACTAGTTACCTCCAAAATGTTTGCCAGAGGGAATAAGGAAAGGTGCCCCGTCATCTTGTTTAACCTATACCTGGAGAAGAGACCAAACAACGTGAGGAAAAGCGGTCCGTTTCACCTCACTGTCATTGTCAAGCCATGCAGTTTCAAGGGTTTGGTACAAGAAAATCCCAATGGGAAAGAACGTCTTAAACACAATCATGAAAAACATGAAAGAAAACTCACCGCTGAAGGATCTGTGTCCCGAGAAGAATTTGACCAACCGTAGTGCAGGAAAAACCATGGTGAAGAAGCTGAAAAGTTGTGGTATCCCAAAGTATGAAATATAGGATATTACAGGTCACGCACCTGCCAAACGGGCTGACGATTATGACTCAGGAAAAAAACGAGAGCGGCAGATCATTTCACGAGCCATTGACAGCACTGGTCCTGTTCCCTTAAGAGTTGTTTTAAGTCAGCTTTAATTACCCGGCAAAGTCCCTGCAGTCACTGCTGTCACTGCAGCGTCACCTTGAAGCCGAGAATGATGCCGTTCAGGAGAGCATAAGCGATCTAAGGCGAGGATACAAGCGTGTCTTTATCGAAGAATTAGATTCTTTGCGATCTGAAAGCGTTTTGAAAGTTTTAACTTTGTTTTAAAATGCACTAACTTTATGTTTTCAAAGTTGAAAGTCTGGTTGTCAATGTCCTGTTATCTTTGTGCGAAAAGAAAATTTCATTTGGCTCAGTCGGGCGTTTGTTAGTCGGGAGCGCATTCAGAAATTCAGTAATTTTTCCCTCTATTCCATTAACAAGTAATAGCGATGGGTCCACGTAAAATTAACAATTAATATAACTTGTCTTTTCACAAGTTGCTGAAATTGAAAACAGGCGTGATATTAATCCTAATTTTACTCGGCCTCATTCGATTACCTATATAGAAATACTCAGTTTTCTAGTCCAGTCCGCGTTCGTAGATTCACGATCACTTCATCTTTTTCACGGCCGCAAAAACTATAGTTTCTCCAAGAGGTTTTATACAGAATATCGTAAATGTCCTACACACTCGATGAAAGCAGTATTTTGCCTAGTATTTTGGTGTTTTGCGATCATTTCTCAAGTTCCAAGCAGACTTCCAGCACGCTTCCAGCATTTGAGCCAGGATTTGATAGAAACCAGACGTGCAAACGAATGTCCACGTACGAACATGAGTTCTCGTCGCTCAGTGGATAGAGCGCCCGCCCGGTGTTCGGGAGGTCATGGGTTCAATTCCTGTCGGGGACTCAGAATTTTTCTTTGTCCCATGCTCGTGTCATGTTGATTAATTCACCTTCACATGCCTATCTTTTTCGTCAATTACTACTCTGCAGCTTCTTGCCGATATGGTATTTATATCGATGGATTTAAAGTCTCTAAAATCGTTGAAAGGTCATGCTGATTTCCGTTGAAGTCTCTTGCAAACTTCTCTGGGTCTAAAGTCCGAAGCCTTGATCGGAACGTGAGCAAACAAAGGGAAAGGAATGTGCTCTTGGTTTTTCCAGACGTTAGTGGGGGAGGAAGATTGCGTGACGAGCACAAAAAGGCTTCTGCGTACGAGGCTACACCATTACCATACGTACATCTTTTATACCGGAAATTCTTGTTATGGTCAATTGACAGCTGTCAAAACAAGGTATCCACTGACCAGTATCACGTAAACATAGCATGGGCTCAGGTTTGGAGCCCAGATACTGGTTTTCGATTTGTTCGCGTGCTCAAGCCAGGTTTTCACTCTGAAGGTGCAGAAGGAGGCACGTAAACGGCAATTTTTTCGCGCGAATTAATCTCTAGCGAGTTGTTTACTTTTCTTCCGAGATATTCCTTGCACAATTGTCTCTTGGAAAGCCCCTGTTAAGTTCTTAACTGGAAAAAATTGTGAAAACACACGCTAAACAATTGCATGCTAAAAATTGATCATTTCAAAGGAAAACTTTTTTTTTCCTTTATGGTTAACGTATTGCAATCAGGAGCTCCGCTCTTAGGTTTGGTTAAATCTATACCTTAACTCGCGCCTAGTGATAATAAAGTTTTGGCAAAACATCAATTAGCTTTCAGTCAATTCCCTGAGATCGTTGCCAGTTTTGTCTTTTGTCTACATTTTGTTTAGACTGTTTGTCACTGGACGAAAACAGTTACACTCACCTGAAACAACGCGTTCCAGTGTTATACCGAGGAAAATCACCCAAGTCACTTTTATTTTCTCGTATACACACGATCCTTGGAGTAGCAACAGCATCAGTCGACGAACCAAAGTCAGGCTATATAAGACACTGGTAAAGCCAGTCTTGATGTATGGCTGCGAGACGTGGAAAATGAATAAAAGTGATGAGAATAAAATCGACGTCTTCCAAAGCAGATGTCTTAGACGGATATTTAAGATACGCTGGTAAGAAAGAATTACAAACAAAGAAGTCCTGAAGATGGCTGAGATGAAAAACCTCAGTGAGGGCGAGCGAAAGAGAAGATGGAAATTCATCGGTCACATCATGAGGAAAGATCCAAATAATGGCTGCAGAACTGCATTAACCTGGACCCCAGAAGGGCGGCAAGAACGGGGTAGACCAAAGACAACATGGAGGAAGACAGCAGAGAGAGAAAGGGAAAAAGCTGCATGGAAGAACTGGAGTGAGGTACAAATCGCAGCGGCTGACAGAGCTGGTTGGCGGGATTGTGTTGAGGCCTTATGTGCCACATGGCACGAAGAAGATAGGTAACAGGTAACACACGATCCTTGTCCATTGTCCTTAAAAAACTGGACGCGATTGAAACAAAAATCGACAACCTTGGAAGCTATGTCAAAAACGTGGACGCTAAAGTAAATGCGTTAACTACGAAAGTGGAAACTCTGGAGGCGACAACAAGAAATGCAGTGAAGTCTATCGAAGAGCTCGACAGAGGATTGGCGTTCCTAAACAGCGAGGTCGAAGGGCTAAAGAAACTGGAGAAAGACTGCAACGCTCTCAGACAAGAGGTTCTCTACATGGGATTTTGCCAAAGGAGGGAAAACGTTCGTTTTTGCTCATGGATGACGTAATTTACTTCATCCATGAGCTTAGTAGGCAGTCCAATGGCACTCACTCACTCACTCGATTCTGATTAATTTATTCATTAAATCCGGATTAAACATTTTTCTCCTACCTCCCCTGCTAAGTATTGTTTTTGTCTCGAGGACTTCTGGACATATGTCTGACTGGTTTTATCGGGGTACTACAAAGGCGTGATTGTTGTCCAACAACATGGCGTAACACGGCACGGAGGTCGAAGATGGTTTTTTGTTCGATCTGTAAACAGGGATTCCTTCGTGGGCTGAAAAATGGAAAGTTTTTACGCTAAGGAACTCTTGCTATGACAAATCGACAATGAAATCCTGTAAGCGACGATCCTTGCATCGAAATCTTGAAAGCTACAATGTCAATCGACCGTAGTCCGTGGACAAATCGACGGAATCGTTTAAAAATGTCTTAATGTCACCTGAAGGAGGAATGAAATGAATGCCGTGTTATCTGGAAGCTAAGGTAACCCTTCTTGTTGTATCGTTTTTTTCTTTAAAAACCATGTCTACAGGAGCACTTTTGCGTACTAGTAATATTAGATTCTTTCGTTCGGAAACTGTTCGATTCCGAAAGTAGTCATCTGACAAAGCAAATGGTTTTCTTAACACGAAAGAACTGACGTATGCCATTTTGTGTCATTGTTAGCGGAGCTCCGGCGGCCCCAAGGGCCGCCAAGCGGAGCCCCATACCGATATAGGGAAGAAAAGGAAACCCATGAATTGATTTTCTCATGGTTATCATGGCCAGCGGTATTGCTCGTGGGCGCGTACGCACGACGGCGACGACGACGACGACGACGGAGTCGCGCAAGATGGCGGCCATACTCCAGCTAATAGGTTGACAGAGACATGCACCCTTGGTTTGTAGCGGGAGAATGCCATTTTTCTTTGCGGGATGTTTAAAGAAAAACGATAGCGGAGGTTGGTCTAATATTTTTAAGACAGGGTTCCACTGAAACAATAAACAGAAAGCAAGGATTAACAGGCAAAGAAGCA